ATTTTATTTTTATCATTTGTAGAAGATTTTTGAAATGGATGAAACCGAAGTAAAAGAATATCGCTGGGAAGGCGGTTATGAAAAAACATGGGAGGAAGTGAAAGAAGACGAAGGAGGAAATGTTGAATGGTCAGTTAAAGAGATTATTGAAAAATCTAARCGATTACTGGCAATTCGGCAGCCTAATGTTCGCTTAGGCATGATGCGACATTTGTTTGTTATTATAGATAGTTCTAATTCAATGGTTGAAAAGGATTTAAAACCTACTAGGCAACTGTGTACTTATAAATTGCTCCAGGATTTTATTCAAGATTATTTTGATCAAAACCCAATCAGTCAACTTGGTCTGATAACTACAAGAAATTCATCTGCAGAACGTATATCAGAATTATCTGGCAATAGAAAATATCATCTTGAAGAATTGAAAAAAACTTTTGGTGATTTTAATTATTGCAACGGATTGATGTCTGTGCAAAACTCTTTAGAAATTGCATTGTCAGTTATGAAAATGTTGCCTTCCCATACTAGTAAAGAAATACTTATTATTGGATCTAGTTTGAGCTCTTGTGATCCAGGTGAAATAAATACTACTATAGAAATGCTTAAAACAAATAATATAAGAGTTTCAATGATACACCTGGCTGCYGAAGTGCGAATGTTTCGACATTTGTGTAATGAAACTAAAGGCAAGCATAATGTAATTGTAGATGATGTACATTATAAACACATTCTTTGGTCATTGGTGGAACCTGTTCCACTTCCAAATTCAGTTGATGCATCATGTGTGAAAATGGGTTTTCCTCAAGAGTTAGAACAAAAGCCACCATTCACCACATGCTCCTGTCATTTAGCAGAGGGTGGCAAATTAAACGCAAAGGGTTTCTTTTGCCCACAATGTAACAGCAAGTATTGTGAATTACCTGTGGAGTGCAAATGCTGTGGCCTCATTCTCGTGTCTTCTTTACATCTTGCTAGATCATTACATCATTTGGTTCCTATTAAGCCATTTATAAAAATTGAGCTTGAAGAAGGTTCTAGTGCCTACTGCTATGGATGTAGAAAAAGAATAAAGGTCCCTGCTGAAAATGTTTATTTTTGTGAATCTTGTAAAAAACATTACTGTGACGGCTGTGACATTTTTGTGCATAATACGTTACATGTGTGTCCAGGTTGTGCTGTTAAACGAGATGAAAAAAGATAACGTACAAAACAATTGGAATGGTTTTTTTTTTTTAATCAATGGATTACTTTGAGCATAAACTAAGCAATTTAAGAGTATCACTTTTGTTTTATATTTTTTTTTAATTTTTAGGCATGATTCCTATTGAATTATTTTAGTTTTTGTGTACAATTAAAAATGATTAAAAACAGAAAAGAATTGAATTGAAATGAAATTATTTAATTTATCTTTTATATTCTAAATTAATAAAMAAATTATAATAAATAGAGAAGTTAGTGTAGGTGTAATAATAATTGATTATTTATTTAATATAAAATGTTAGGATTTTTAAGTTCCTTCTAAAAATGTTTAATTTAATCCATCATAGTTAGGAATGTATTATTAAATCAGGACAAATTAAAATATAAYATCATTGACATTAATTAGAGTAATACATAATAACACTGAACAATAATTAATTATTAAGAAATAAGTGAATGATTCTTGTATTTATTCAAGTAGCCTAGGAAAAATATAATAATAGTACTTATAATATTTTATCTAAATTTTAAAATGTATTTATTATTTAAAAGTTAAAAATTTAAAACCAGTGTTGGTTAAATAGAAATAAAAATAAGTAAAACATATATAATATGTGAATAAGAAAAAAAAAATATTTTGAAAAAGAAATGTTTAGTTTTAAATTTATCTCCAGATTTGCAAATAAATAATATATTTGGAGGAATAAAAATGTATTTAAAAATTGTAAGCTGTAAAAGTAATAATGTATAACATTGCAGTCACTCCTAAGAACTACAAATAACAAACAAATATTCCTATATATTTTTGATATTTTTACAAACCCTAATAATTCATATTATAATTATTGATTGTTTTAATTCTGTATTTTAGATTCTGAGCGTAGCGAGATTATTGCCGATAAATAATTCTTTGCTTGATCAAGTAACTTAAAAAGGTAATGCAACATTTCACATCAGTTCTTAATAATTAATTTAAAAAAAAAAGATCAACAATATAATTTTATGGTTTTCTAAAGTTAGAAATTTGACAAGATCCTGAAAATTTGCAAATTATTTTCAATTAAAATTGATAAAAAAAAGWAAGTTTTTTCATAAATAACATTTGATAATTTATTAAAAGATTTCTTATTTTAAGTTTTTCTGGCATAGTCATGAGAAGTTTGTCGGAAAATGACACTATTTTAAATACCTAGCCATGATATATTTTCAATTATTAAATTTAATTATTTATACAATTATGCTAAGATAATACCCCATATTTTCCTCTCAGAATCATATAGGGTTAATCGTATAGGGTTTTTTACTGTTAAATTCAAATTATACACATCCATTACAATGACATGCTTGAGTACTCTTACTACTACTGTCTAGTGTACAGTCTGTAACATAGACATAATATATATATATTATGTCTATGGTCTGTATCGACGTAAAGAAGAGGTATCCACTGGCCACATGTTCACCTTTTATTTTTAAAAAATCATGATATTTTCAAATATTATTTAGGCCGCGTGCATAATTGCATTGTATACGAAACTTTACTGAAATACTGATAACTGTTATCTACACAATTATCCTCTGATAATCCGATCACTTTAAAAACGTRATATTTTAACCATTTGAAAATATTTTTTATATATTTTAATTGAGCTTACACTCGATTGCTATTTGTGGAGTAGTGGAGTTCTGTAACTACTAACTTGCTAATTTCTATATCACTTCATTCTATAGACTTAAGTTTCCTATAGTGTCTCTGTACTGACAACCTCAGCAATTATATAATATTCAATTTACAGTATTTACACGACAAGTGGCCATGTCCTGATATTGGCAACAGCGGTCTAAACGGTTCA